AAGCTATCAAGCTGACTAACATTATAATTACTGATAGAATTAATCTTTTCAGTATATATTTTTTTAAGATTGAAAAGTTGTTTATTATTTTCCTGTATCAACTGATTGTTTTTATTAATCAAATCAACTTGTTCTTGTTGTGATTTCTCAAGTTCAAAAAGCCTTGAGATTAAAAACAGATTGTCCTTCCTTAAGGAATCTATTCTCAATTCTAATTTGGCGTTTGTCTTGTTTGTTTCCTTAATTATTGATGGTGCAATACCTGATATTATATACCAAGCACCAATAGCCAGCCCAAGACCAATCAGAATATATAATAATACCCTTCCCTTGATATTTGATAAAAGGGATTTAATAAAACCGATTTCTTTGGAGGTTTTTATATCGTTAATAATTTTTGTTTCATTATCGTTCATATTTTATAAGTATGATAAAAAAATACCGGGGGTAATCCCGGTATTCCATCTTTATGCAAGATGTGAAAGGCTTTCTTATTTCAAATCTAAATTCTTCTGCTGATTCTGCAAGGGGAAAAACACCAGAATTTTATGTTGTTTTTCCCAACTCAATTTAATGTATCAATATAATCTTCAAGAACAGCAGGGTAATAATGAACTGTTCCATTTTCTTGTGAATAATTACCTTCATAAACTTGAATGTGAAAAGGGCTTGAAGTTGCGTTATTGGTTGGTCTAACCCTTACTTGTCTATTTTCGGTTACTTCCCCAAGAATATTTCTTGCCACCTCAACAACAGTTGCTGTTGTATTATCTTGATGAATTAGCTTATAAAAGGAATGCCATGTTCCAAATCTGTCTTTGTTTATTTTATATAAGTGCATATTTTAAGTTTTAGTAAATGTAATGTGATTTATTGGCAAACTGTATCACCAATATAATAATGGCTGTAAGAAGCCGAATCAGTACTAATAAATCCGTTGGGTGTCGTTAATACGAAGGTTCTGATTGTATCAGTAGGGGCAATCTTCCCGCTGTGAATGTAATCCTTGTGCATGTCAAGAATCTTGGAACAACCTGTTTTATTGAATCCAGTTTCTTTTGTACAGGAAGCAAAAAGGATGATAAGGGATAAGGCTAATAGTATTTTTTTCATGTTACGGTTTAATTTAATTGTTCTTGTGACTCATAAACATCAAACTTTATGTTTTTCTTATTTAATTCAGTTTCAATTCTTTTTTTCGTACCAATGAAAAATGAACTAAACTTTTTGATTGGAACAATAACAGGTGGTTCACATGTTGTAATATTTCCGTTTATCAATTCAACGATGACATTGTAATTCGTTAATGGTACAGGTGTGATTTTAAAATTTAATCTTGTCATTTTTTTAATTTTGGTTTTAATAATTTATATCT